AGAATTTCTAAAGGTTAATATTATCTTAAACTGTCGATAAGATAATTCTCTTAAAAGGATGAGGCATAAAAATTTCTTTTGTCCTGAGATCATCATAATAATTAATAAGTTATTTATCATATTTTGATTCTGCACACTTGTAGTCATATAATTATAGTTGAAAGGATATTGAGTGTGATTAAATACTTATAGTATTAGTGATTGATCAAGATAGAATCTGTCAACTTTGGTAATAAATTTAAGTTCTATGTTGTCATTTATTATAAAAACTACATTTAAGACTTTAGTTAAGGCAATTGAATAGAAAAAGAAATTAGTTTTTTATGTCATTCATTAGTCAGTTATAATTGACATGAAACATAATTGGTTACCTATTGAAATTTGACAATTAAATCATATTATAGGGTTAACTTGGATCAATAATAATGGAAAGAAATATTACATTATTCTTTAGTAGATTCTTAAGAGTAATATACATTTCATGTTATCCAGTCGTTAGGAGTGTTGCTAGACATCAGTCTTGATTGATATATTAGTTTGACCAATTTACTCCCACTTTAGTATTGAACTTATGAGGTCGCACACTAACGAATTTTCTGATTTTTATTAAATAGATTAATTTAATTATTTGATAATTAAATTAGAGAATTTAATTTAACCAAATAAATAATTTTTTTGATTTAAATAGAATATTATTTTATTTTTTGCTACCATTGATAATATAATTAATATCGAAGACAAATTGAAATTTTTTATTTTAGAAATAAAAAATTAATATTTATATTTCTTAGTTATTATATTATTAGTGTAATAATATAATAAGTATGATTATTATAATAATAGAGATTATTATAAAATATATTTGAAATTAGATTGATTTATAAAATATTTGTATTGAAAATTAAAAAAAAAAATAGTCATAAAACAAAAGGTTGTCGCACAATTAGGTTATAAACCTAATTGTGTTGTCAACATATACATATATATATAAAAGGAGGTGGTGAAAAAAGAGAAGAGGGTGAGCCGCAGGTGTTGGAAAAGGGCTGCTGCAAGTATTACTAAAATTGCAGTCGCAAATGCTGGAAAAGAGTAGCCGCAAGTGTTTCTAAAAAGGCAGCCGCAGATGCTGGTAAAAAATGCAGTCGCATATCTGCAGGTCATGGTCAAAGACGCAGTTGAATATCCGCAGGCATCAGTAAAAAGGTTGCCGCTGAAAATAGCCACATTAAAAATAAGAATAAAATTGAGAGAATTTTGTTTTTTTAATTTGTTAAAATTTTATAAGAAAATTTTAATACAAATGTTATTCAATTTGTTCACAAGTATCATTGATCAAAAAGTTGATTAGTAAAGATCAATTTCAATGTGGATATGCATATAGTATTAATATTTTTGAAGAATTTTAATCTGAAAATCCGTTATTATGTATGTTTTAAATTTAGTCTTTAACATACAATATAATTTTTGAATTACAAATAGATTAGATTATATTATATTATTTTATATATTCCACTGATCCTATAGAAAAAACAAAATATAATTTATTCACTCAATCTAAAGGTTTATCATAAGCAATTCAAAATAGAGGGGTAGTCTAAAGGAAATTCAAAAGGCTGTTATATGTGCTAAAAGTACGAGTCTTAAAGCACAGTTGTCGTGTGTATGTGGTATATAATTGATGTTGAAAACTTAGTCATGAAATTATCGTGTCAATCTTTCTAAAGCATAAGCAAATATTGCACATGAAAGTGATGAATCTGAACAACCAAAATGGAGGAATTATTTATCTGTTGAAGTTATTAATCAAACAAATTGATAGCAATCAAATGCACAAAAGCTCAAATGTTGCTAATTAGGAAGCTCAAGTTTGTGAAGATGATAATTTGATCAACACTGTTGGTCTAATAACCCGTTCAAGAAGAAAGAAAATGCAAGAAGCTTTGAAGAATTTGATTAGCACAAGTCTTTCACTAGAATGCTCCAAAGCCCACAATGCGAAGTCCAAAATTATGAATTTCATGACCATTTCAGATCATGGGCCAATAAGGGATAATGGATCATATTAGACTAATCAAGACAATCATTTTGGCCCATAATATGGTCTAAAATTCGTGCAAAAGCATGGTTGCTTTAAGACTATACTCTTTTATCAATTCTAGTCAACAATAATGGTTTAACTTTGAAGTTGAAGGACATCAATAAATCTGATCATTTATGAACAAGATTGGAGTCTTCGAAAGCATTAAAACTCTTCATTGGATGATAAAAAATCAGCATGGAGTAAAGAGTAGTCAGCCTGGGAAAAATAAATTCAAATAAGATTAGAATCCCAAGTCATTAATTAGTTTTGAATTTTGTTTTATTTTTTTATTAGTTTCTATTTTCAAAGTTAATTTTAAGTAATTTACTTTTAAATTTCGTGCTTCCTATGACCTATAAATAGGGGTGCATTCTACTTGTAAATAGGATGGAAATTACGTACTTGTTAAGGGTTTTCCTTAATTTGTTAGTCTCTTTGAGCTAGTTTGGGTCTTGCAAGTTGCTTGCAAAACTTATTAGGTTATCAACTACGATCTCCTCCTAGTTGTGGCACATTGGTCTTTCCTCTTTCTCTTCTGTGATTCAAAGGTGATAGGTTTAATATACTTATTATTGTTGGGTTTATTAAATTTAGGGGTGGGTAAGAGTAGTTTAATTTTTCTACCTTTTTATGATTCAAAGGTGGTAGGTTTAATATACTTACTGTTGTTGGGTTCAAATAGGTTAGCTTGGGTTGCTTAGAAGATTTCCATAATTCTTTCTTTTGGTGTAATTCAAAGGTGTTGAGTTTGATATGCTCAATGTTGTTGAATTCATCCAAGATTGAAGATTGGTTGAACTAGATCATCAAGGAACGATCTTAATCAACGGATAATCGTTGTTATCATTTTTGGTATCAGAGCTACGTTTTTATTGATTCATTTGATCAAAAGTAGCCGTGAAAAAAAAAATATATTGATTCATTTGATCTTTGGCAGTACTAATATCATTTGTTTTGAAGGTTTCATCATTGGGAAAATAAAGAGTTACAAAATTTTTCAACACCTTTGAATCGGTTCTTCCTTTCTTTTTTCTTTCTTTTTTTTTCTTTCATTCTTCTTGATTTTCCTTATTCACTTTGTCCTTTTTTTGTTTTAGTTGTTTTTGCTTAGTAAGTGTTGTTTTAGCATTTGTAAAACTTGAACGAATTCTTAAAGGCTTGCAACATGGAAAAGAGTGGCAAGAAACGAGTGAATCTATCCCCGACTATATTAAGCCGAGAGTTACATTTGGGGAGTGACATTTTAGGATAGGGAAACAAGGGTGTAAGGATTTAAACTTTTCATTTCCTATGGATAAAACAGAAATGGAGGCATCACAAGAAAGCTTTGAACAAAAGGCTTGGAGACAACAATTGTTGAGACAATTCAATCAAACAATGGAGACGGTGATGTAGCGCCTGGATCAACTCGAAAGGAATACAAGTAGACATGAATATGATGAAGAGGTTCAATCCAAAATATCCCAAGGAAGTAGGAGGAGATGGAATAGAGGTAGAGTTGATGATAATCTCAAAAGCATCAAAATGACCATTCATACATTTCAAGGCAGAAATGATCCCGAATCATACTTGGAGTGGGAAACAAAGGTGGGAAAAGTCTTTTCAATCCACAACTACTCGGAAGAAAAAAAAGGTAAAACTTGCATATCTTGAATTCCAAGGTTATGCACTAACTTGGTGGGATAAGTTGAATGTCTCTAGAAGGAGAAATAGGGAACAACCTATTGGCACTTGGGAGGACATGAAGGCAGTAATGAAGAAGAGATTTGTACCCCCTCATTACTATAGAGACTTGTTCAATAAGTTGCAAGGCATAACTCAAGGATCAAGGAGTGTGGAGGAGTACTGTCAAGAGTTAGACATGGTTATGACCAGAGCCAATATTGAAGAAGATCTCGAGGCTTCTATGGCACATTTCTTGGGTGATTTGAAAAGGGAGATTGTTGATGTTGTTGAATTGCAGCACTACATGGATTTGGACGAAATGCTTCATATGGCTGAGAAGGTAGAAAAACAATTAAAGAAGAAGAGTGGTTCAAGTAAGTTTTCTTCTACTCAATCATCTTGGAAAGGAAATAATGTGAATAAAAAGGATGATGTGAAGAAGGCAGAATCCAAGAAATTTGAGCTAAAGAGTTTTTCAAATGGTGATTCTAGTAAGAGCTCTTTTATTTTTAAACTCACATGTTTTAAATGTTTGGGAAATGGCCATATTGCTTCTCAATGTCTTAATTCCATAACCATGGTTATGCTTGATGATAGATCTTATGTGAGTCAAAGTGAAGGGGAAGATGAAAAGGAAGCCAATTCATGTGAAGATGAAGGTGATCAATGTGAATTCAGTGGTGATAAAGTTCTTGTTACTATGAGGGCTTTGAATATGCAAGTTCAAGAAGAAGAGGCCCAAAGACACAACATATTCCATGCAAGATGCAAAGTGCAAGATAAGGTATGCATGCTTATAGTTGATGGTGGAAGTTGTACTAATTGTATAAGTACTTATTTTGTAGACAAGCTGGAGTTGCCAATGATCAAGCATCCTACACCATACCGCTTGCAATGGCTCAATGATAGTGGAGAAATTAGGGTGAATCGGCAAGCTATGGTAAAATTTTCCATTGGTAAATATGAGGATGAAGTTCTTTGTGATGTAGTACCAATGAATGCAGGTCATATTCTACTTGGACGACCATGGGAGTTTGATCGTGAAGCCAATCATGAAGGCAGATCCAACAAGTACTGAATTGTTCACAAACAAAAGGCTTATACCCTTGTACCTTTAACACCCCAGCAAGTACATAAAGATCACATGAGAATGAGGGAAAAAAGGCTTGAATATGAAAGTGAAATAAAAAAACCTACGGAGTGTGTTAAAAAAGAGCCAAAAACAAGTGAGAAAAAAAATACTAGAATATGAAAGTGAGCTGAAAAAGTCTAAGGAGTGTGTTGAGAAAAAGCCAAAAGCAAGTGAGAAAAAATGCGCTTTCTTTATTATCATGAGAGATGTAGATAGGGCCATGAATTCTCACAAACTAGTGATTATGCTTTTGTACCATAAAACTTGTTTAGTTACTAATGAGTTACCTAACGATTTACCTTTAGAAATTGTTGGTGTTTTGAATGATTTTGCAGATGTGCTACCTGAGGAAGTGCCCGATGGATTACCTCCAATTTGAGGTATTGAGCATTAAATTGATTTCCAGCTCGGTGCAACTATTCCAAACCGTTCAGCATATCGAGCAAATCCGGCGAAAACAAAAGAGCTCCAAAGGCAAGTTGATGAATTGTTATCTAAAGGACAAATCCATGAGTCTCTAAGTCTTTGTGCTGTTCCTGTGATTTTAGTTCCAAAAAAAGATGGTACATGACGCATGTGCATTGATTGTAGGGCTGTTAATAAAATTACCATTAAGTATCGTCATCCAATTCCTATGTTAGATGATATGCTTGATGAGTTATATGGTGCATGCATTTTTACAAAAATTGATTTGAAATCTAGATATCATCAAATTAGATTAAAAGAAGGGATGAATGGAAGACGGCCTTCAAAAAAAAAATTGGTCTTTATGAGTGGCTTGTTATGCCCTTTGGTTTAACTAATGCCCCCAGCACTTTCATGAGATTGATGAATCATGTTTTGAGGTATTTTATTGGAAAATTTGTGGTTGTTTATTTTGATGATATTCTGATTTATAGCAAGAATATGAGTTATCATATTGAGCATCTTAAGTTTGTTCTTACTGCTTTGCGTGAATAAAAGTTGTATGCTAATTTGAATAAATGTACTTTTTGTGTGGAAGAAGTAATTTTCCTTGGCTATGTGGTAAGTGCTAATGGTTTGAGAGTTGATGAAGCAAATATTGAGGCTATTCTTGACTGGTCAATTCCAACAAGTGTGACTGAGGTAAGATCTTTCCATGGGCTTGCTAGTTTTTATCGAAGGTTTGTTAAAGATTTTTCAACAAAAGCAGCCCCTCTTAATGAGTTGGTAAAAAAAAATGTAAAGTTTGAATGGGGTAATTCATAACAAAAAGCTTTTGATCAATTGAAGCATGATTTGACTAATACAACCGTTCTAGCTTTGCCTAATTTTTCTAAAACTTTTGAAGTTGAATGTGACGCTTCAGGAATTGGAATAGGTGTTGTTTTGCTTCAAGAAGGCCGACCACTTGTTTACTTTAGTGAAAAGTTAAAAGGAGCTCATTTGAATTATCCAACTCATGATAAGGAGCTTTATGCCATTATGAGGGCATTGGAAACATGGCAGCGTTACCTCATGCCAAAAGAGTTTGTGATCCACACTGACCATGAATCTCTCAAGTATCTCAGGGGACAAAAGAATTTGCATAAGAGGCATGCTAAGTGGATAGCATTCATTGAGACTTTTTCCTATGTTGTGAAGTACAAGAAGGGTAAGGAAAACATTGTTGTTGATGCATTCTTCTGAAGGTACACACTTCTTGTTACTTTAGATGCAAAAATCATGGGATTTGAGTACATTAAAGAATTGTATGTTAATGATTATGATTTTTCTCACATTTTTGAAACATGTGAAAATGGAGCTTTTAACAAATTCTACAAAAATAATGGTTTCTTGTTTAGAGAAAACAGATTGTGTGTTCCACAATGTTCTTTAAGGGAGTTACTTGTGCGAGAGGCACATAGTGGTGGATTAATGGGACATTTTGGGAATTCTAAAACTCTTGATGTCTTGAATGAACATTTCTACTAGCCACACATGAAAAGAGACGTTGGAAAGCTTTGTGGAGGATGTGTTGAGTGCAAACGAGCAAAATCCAAGTCCTTCCTCACGAACGTTACACTCTAATGCTATACTTCAATCACCTTGGATTGACATATCCATGGATTTCATTCTAGGGCTGCGTAGATCACAACGAGGTATGGATAGTATTTTTGTTGTGGTTGATCATTTTTCTAAAATAGCTCATTTTATTCCTTGTAGGAAATCGGATGATGTAAAGCATGTTGCCAATTTGTTCTTTAGAGAAGTGGTTCGACTACATGGGGTTCCTAGAAGCATAGTGTCCGACAGAGATGTCAAATTTTTGAGTTACTTTTGGAAGACACTTTGGGGAAAATTGGGAACCAAATTGTTGTTTTCAACCACAAGTCATCCTCAAACAGATGGACAAACGGAGGTGACAAATCAAACTCTTGGTACACTCCTAAGGGCAATCCTCAAAAAGAATCTCAAGAGTTGGGAGGATTGTGTACCAATTGCTGAATTTACATATAACCGAACTATGCATTCATCCACATGTTTATCTCCTTTTGAAATTATTTATGGTTTTAATCCACTAACTCCTTTAGATCTTTTTCCTCTGCCCATAAAGAAATATTTGAATCTAGATGGGGTTAAAAAGGTTGAGATAATCAAGAGCTTGCATAAAAAAGTTCAGGAACGTTTGAAGCTCAAAAGTGAGCTAGTTGCTACAACGATCAATCGTGGACGAAAGGAAGTTGTCTTTGAACCCAGAGATTGGGTTTGGGTTCATATGAGGAAGGAAAGATTTCCCAACAAAAGACAGACAAAGTTACACCCTCGTGGAGATGGTCCATTTCAAGTCCTTCAAAGAATCAACAATAATGCCTACAAGTTGGACTTGCCCGGTGAGTTTGGAATTAGTAATACTTTCAATGTTTCTGATCTTTCTCCATTTAAAGATGATGCAGGACACGATTCGAGGTCAAATCTTTTTAAGGGAGAGGGAACTGATAGCGATCAAATGCACAAAAGTTCAAATGTTGCTAATTAGGAAGCTCAAGTTTGTGAAGATGATAATTTGATCAACATTGTTGGTCTAATGACACGTTCAAAAAGAAAGAAAATGCAAAAAGCCTTGAAGAATTTGATTAGCACAAGTCTTTCACTAGAATGCTCCAAAGCCCACAATGCGAAGTCCAAAATTATGAATTTCATGACCATTTCAGATCATAGGCCAATAAGGGATAATGGATCATATTGGACTAATCAAGACAATCATTTTGGCTCATAATATGGCCTAAAATTCGTGCAAAAGCATGGTTGGTTCAAGACTACACTCTTTTATTAATTCTAATCAACAATAATGGTTTAACTTTGAAGTTGAAGGACATCAATAAATATGATCATTTATGAACAAGATTGGAGTCTTCGAAAGCATTAAAACTCTTCATTGGATGATAAAAAATCAGCATGGAGTAAAGAGTAGTCAGCTTGGGAAAAATAAATTCAAATAAGATTAGAATCCGAAGTCATTAATTAGTCTTGAATTCTGTTTTATTTTTTTATTAGTTTCTATTTTCAAAGTTAATTTTAAGTAATTTACTTTTAAATTTCGTGCTTCCTATGACCTATAAATAGGGGTGCATTCTACTTGTAAATAGGATGGAAATTACGTACTTGTTAAAGATTTTCCTTAATTTGTTAGTCTCTTTGAGCTAGTTTGGGTCTTGCAAGTTGCTTGCAAAACTTATTAGGTTTATCAACTAGGATTCTTCCTCCTAGTTGTGGCACCTTGGCCTTTCTTCTTTCTCTTATGTGATTTAAATGTGATAGGTTTAATATACCTATTATTGTTGGGTTCATTAGATTTAGGGGTGGGTAACAGTAGTTCAATTTTTCTACATTTTTGTGATTCAAAGGTGGTAGGTTTAATATACTTACTATTGTTGGGTTCAAATAGGTTGGGTTGGGTTGCTTAGAAGATTTCCATAATTCTTTCTTTTGGTGCAATTCAAAGGTGTTGAGTTTGATATTCTCAATGTTGTTGAGTTCATCCAAGATTGAAGATTGACTGAACTAGATCATCAAGGAACGATCTTAATCAACAGGTAACCGTTGCTATCATTTTATGTTAATCAACAGGTAACCATTGCTTATTACAAATTGAATCCAACATAGATGCAGATGTTAGTGTTTCCATAAACTACAAGGAATAGATTATTGATTCTGGTTGCTCTCATCATGCAATAGAAAATTATTCTTTACTCTCTTATGTTCACATACAATATGAAAAAAGAATTATTGTGACAATTGATAATTATTTCCATCTGGTACTAGAAGAAGAAGATTTTAATGTCAAGGCTGATATGTCAAATGATGGAGGTGTTTCATTTAAAGATGTTTATCACGTTTTGTGTTTAAATAAGAATCTCACCTCAGTTTCTCAATTAGTTGATTCTATAAGGTATGTCATTTTTGGTCCAAATGATGTTTAAATTCTTTCAAATGTCAAATACATTATAGCTGTTATTTTATTCACAGATAAAAAAAAGAAT